TGTATTCTTTCATGAGTCATCTATTTGCCACGGTAGGGGAAAATTTATAGTGGTATGATCTACTTCCTATTTGAACTGCACCATCCATAATTTGTTTCACCCTTCCATCGGAGTGTGACCGAGTATCACCATCTTCTACATTTCTATTAGCTTTATTTAGGTTATACCTCACTGCTTGAGTGATGAAATAGTAAGTACTAGGCTATTTTTCAACGCTAATATCGGCAAAAGTCGTAGGAGAATATTGATAGAAATTTCTAATATAGTCACAAACCTCATCGGAAAAGTCGAGATTCGGAAGGTTTTCATGGGGAGGGTTATGATAATCTATTTCTACGACTTCATCATCATATCAAAAACGTTGTGAGAGTTGGGAGGATGAAAGTGCTCAAACAATGGCGGAACAGGCGGAAGTGCCGGTGGCGGAACGACAGTTGTAGTGGATTTTAGAAATGATTGAATATTATTATGTATGGGTTGTTAGATACAAATGGCCAGTTATGATTGTTTTCCACCATCTTCCACATTTCTATTAGCCCTATTTAGGTTATTCCTCACCACTGGAGTGATGAAATAGTAAGCACTAGGCTCTCTTTCAACACTAATACCTGCCAAAGTCATGAGAGAATGTTGATAGAAATTTTCTAATGTTCATCCAGTCTACCTCCCAAGCAAATCTATCAAATCGATTTCAGTAACAATATAGTCCCAAACCCCATCGAAAAAGTTGGGATCCGGAGGGTTTGCTGAGTTTTCTTGGGGTGGGTTAGGATCATCTATTTCTACGTCTTCATCATTCATATTGTAATGATAAAAAAATGTTGGGAAAGTTGAGAGGATGAGGGTGCTCAAACAATGGCAGAACCGGCGGAGGAGCCGGTGGTGGAGCGGCGGCTGTAGTGGATTATAGAAAGGATTGAATATTATTAAGTATGGACTGTTAGATACCAATGCCCAGTTATGATTGTTTTCCATTTTTCGCTGAAAAGGATTGGAGTTTTTGTGGGAGGAAGAGTTTGGAGTTTTTGAGAGAGAGGAGTGCGCTGTCATCTGAGAAATGGGGATTTTTAACTACGGTATAGTCTAGGACGGTGTTGGAGAAAATGATGGTGCAAGAGACAGTCTGCAGTTATATGTCAGAAAGTGTGGGTAAGGTTGCTGCATGTGCACAATAGTGTTGTACAAATGCACAATATACTTATATAATTTGATTCATTGACATATTTGGTTAAGTTTTAAAATATTACTTTTACGTAATTGGTATCTAACAGCCCATACTGAATAATATTCAATCCTTTCTACAATCCACTACAGCCGCCAGCTCCTCCGCTGATTTTGCCATTGTTTGAGCACCCTTATCCTCCCAACTTTTTTTATCATTTTGATATGAATGATGAAAACGTAGAAATAGATGATCCTAACCATTCCCATGAAAACCTAGCAAACCCTCCGGATCATGGCTTTTTCGATGGGTTTTGGGACTATATTGTTACTGAAACTGATTGATAGATTTGCTTGGGAGGTGGCTCGGAAATGAGCCAATAAATGTAGACTGGATGAACGTTAGAAATTTCTATCAACATTCTTCCACGACTTTGACATGTATTAGTGTTGAAAGAGAGTCTAGTACTTACTATTTCATCACTCCAATAGTGAGGTATAACCTAAATAGGGCTAATAGGAATGTGGAAGAGGGTTGTACTTGGTCTCACTCCGATGGAAGGATGAAACAAATCATGAATGGTGCAGTTTGAATAGGAAGTAGGAGATCTTCCCACTATAATAATTTTTGGAGTGAGATGTAGTATAGATCGATTGATGCAATTGTTTGTAAACAAAGAACAATTGTATTAAAGATTGTATTGAATTGAAATTAACTGGAAAACAGGAATTGAAAGAACAATTCCAAGTATTCGAGAGACTGGATCTCTCCTAATTGGCTTAACCAACTGCTCAATCCCCCCTCTCCCCAAATTATGCTCCCTCTCATATTACATTTATCTACTCCCCCCTTATTCCCCAAACTACCCATGATAACTAACAAACTGATATGAATGGAATAACAGACTCAGTTTGACCCATTGTAGCCTCAGCCATCTTAAGAGGGACCTATCATTCACGGAGTCGTAGGCAAAAAGTCTCAATTTGATAAATGACCGTTATCTAGATTTCTGCTTGGGACATTACTACATTTCAGGTTGGGCTGTTGAATCTTGAATCATATTGTTATTTCCTCCCATTTTCTTCTGCTTTCTTTCAACGTCCCACCTTTTTTCTTTCAACGTTTCCAGAACCATTTTTTTAGTTATCTGGAGTCTACTTGTACCATCTTGCTTTCTGATTGGTCTGAATACCTGTATTCAATGCTTTCCAAGGTTGATTACCTGTATTAGATGATTCCTATCGTTTAATCCCTTTCCCTTCGAACATCAACATGCATATGAATTAATATGTTTGAGAGAGACTAATTTTGAAATGAGCAGAGGGAAGCAATATTTAATTGGATTGGATCGACAGCTGAATTATCTTTATGATGGAAATCTGTATGGTTTCTGCTGCAGGTTTCAGAACATACAATTCAGTCAGGATGTTTCTATGTGTGTATAGTCCAAGCTGCCCTCATTGCTACAGGAGCTCCAGAAAATTTAGTTGAAGTAATAATTGGGTATGGAACTATGCATTAATTTCTGTTACATGAAGTTGTATCGATTGATTTTACATATTGAAATTTCTTGCCAGATTTGATGAAACAGGAGAAGCACTAGTGTCATCAGTAGATAAAATCATATTTGTTGGATCACCGTGTGTGGGTAGAACGGTCAGATTCTCTCTTGGGCTAGAGAATTATTAATAATCTGTCTAAGAACCTAAATGGAAATTACCTTGATTCCTTTGGCAAGCTTGAGCAATTAAATCACTGATTTTCACTACCCTTAAAGTTCCATAGATTTTTACTTTTCCATGATGCTGCACATAATGTTAATACCTGTCAATGCTTGAGCTTGGTGGAAAAGCTTTAGACTCTGGTAAATGATGCCCTTGACAAAAGAGCTAAAATTGCTGGTCGCGTAAGTGTTAGAAATATTGGTGAATGTACTGTTGATCAATACTTTCCTCCTACTGTGATTATAAATGTAAACCATACTATGAAACTGATGCAGGAAGAGGTACACACTTCTTAACATTTTTGTTTGATCTCCTGGAAATGGAAATTTATTATTTTGTTGTTTATTGTAATTGACATAGGCTTTTGGACCGATTATGGCGATGATGAAATTTAGTTCCGATGAAGAAGCTATTGAACTTGCAAATGATTCATAAGGACTTGGATGCACTGTGTTTTCTGGCAGCCAGCACCATGCCACTCATGTTGACATGTTCAGTTGATGATTTAGTTTATTACTTAGAAATATTTGAACATAGAAAAAAAACCTGAATAACCTATTTTGTACTAAATTATGACCAATTTTTAGAATGGTTTTGAGGTGGTTGAACTGTTGCAAGGAAACATTGAGATGAGTAAGGATTCCGTGCATGATATTATTTTGTATGGATTATCTTAAACCAATGAGATGAAGACAAGGTGAAAGTTTTAAGTTAGAGACTAGTTTTAGAAACTGGATGTCTAAAAGAAAAGGGACATTGCACTAGTCATTAAATAAATAAAGACATCTACTCGAGCCTGTATAACTCGAGTGATTAAGCCTGTAAGTGTTTAAAACCTAGTGCCCTATGGTCATTTGATTTTGGAGTCATCGGTCTAAAACTCGCTACAAGGGTTATATAGAAAGAAAATGAAAGATGTTTAAAAAAAACTGGAAAAAAAAAGATAGAGAAATATCTATCTATTGATGAATAAATTGCATACTTTTATATATGAAATGGCATTGATTGGCCCCAGACATTCGGTTTATAGAACTATATCTCTAGTACGAGGCAAGTAACCTAGTTTAATCTCAAAGGTCGAAGTAATAAAAAATAGGAGAGTTTCTACTTGTTGAAATTTGAACTTGTGATAGTACGACACATCCAAACTAAGAGAGTGTAAGGAGTAGATATAAATGAGTGTAACTTTAGAACACACACCGGGATAATTAAGTAAAAAGAATAAGTTTGGGGGATGTGTACCTTTCGAGCGATATAAGGAAATATTTGACTACTTTGGGTCGGGTATGAGCTAATCATGATCTTAATATGTTGACATAAGTTTTCACATACATACACGTCAAGTTATGCATGTAACATGTGGAGGTTGATTTGATTTTGCACTATTGTACTTGTTCACTTTGTTTAATACTAAGTTCCAATCCTAAGACACGGCAAGTTATTAAACATTTTTATTTGGAGTTAAATTACAATTTTGTTTGAGGACAAACAATAGCTCAAGTTTGGGGGTATTTGATGAGTGCATTTTGTGCACTTATTTAAGTCATTTTACTTGGGTTTCATGTCATCAAACTATTAATTTTTACTTAACTTGAGTTAATTTTATTTTGTTTTAGTTATGGACGTGTTCGAAACAATTGGAAAGGAAAAATGCTGAAATTGAAGGAAATCTACAATTTTGGGAATTAAAGTCTACGCTATAGAAATTGAAGGACTAAAAAATTCATTAACTCTAAAGATGGGATGACTTGGTGAAAAAACAAAATAAATGGGCTTGTGGACTTGAAGTTGGATTAAGACTTCAATTAACTTGGAATTCTATTTTGATTGGAATTGATTGGCGGCTTTTGTTTGAATTATGGATTGGGCCTGAACAAGTAATTGGCGGCTGAGATTATTATATATATTTACACAAGCAGATGGAAAAAGGATGGGGTTTTGGGGGCTGAATTTAGGGAAAAAAATCAAAAATAAGGTGTTTAAGTTTCTAAATTCAAAAATCAGGTTTATAGTTTAAAAATTCAAAAATCAGGTTTTATTTTTATTTTTATTAAATAAAGATAATAAANATCTGTACGTCACGGGTTATTTCGAGGTTACAGATAAAAAATTTTGTAAATCGCAGATTATTTCGAGGTCACAGATTTAAAATTTTATAGGTCACAAATTATTTTGAGGTCACAGATTTTTAAATTAGTTGGTCACAGATTATTTTTCACTCACATTGTCAAAATTTTTAGGCCACAGATTAAATATTTGGTCACGGATAACCAAATATTTGATCACACAGTGCCAACAGTAACCATTAAAAGTCGTCGTCCCCGCCACACGACCACCGTCGACGCCGCCGCCGCCACCACCACCACCATAGATCCACCAATAATAACCACCAACGCACAGCACACCACTCAATAGTAAAAAAGAAAGAAAGAAAGAAAGAAAGACAACTTCATTATCACTGCCAGGATGGAGCAGAAACCAATCACAGCAGCCAACAAACGATTCAGGTTCACTGTTACAAAATGCGAAAATAGATGATTTACAAATCGATTAAAGGTCACCAGCTTAAAATGGGAAGGAGATTAACAGAATGGTCGAGACGGAGGAAACTGAGACGCTGCTGCGATTCACAGCAACGCCTCGTCGACGCTACTGTGAATCGCAGCAGCGCCTCACAGCACTGCTGCGATTCATAACAGCGTCAACGCGCTGCTGCACTCTGCTAGGGAGAGGAAGGGGAGGTGTAGGGGGATGGGGAAGGGAGGAGAAGCAGGCAGAGGTGTGGGGGGTCAAGATCTTGTGAAGTGGTGGACGGCGAGACAAACCGAGCAGAATATTTCTTCATAGAACAAAGAGAAAGTAGGAGAGTGCAGTTACAATGAACATGATTGTTGATGTGGCGGTGGTCGACGGCAAGCGGTGGGGATATTTACATAGGGAAGGGGAGAGGAAATGCCAGAGAGAGAGGGGGTGAGGGAATTGAAAGGGATAAATTAGGGTTTGAGATTTAATATATTATCTGATTTTTGAATTATGAAACTTGGTCCCTGATTTTTGAATTATATTCTTCAAACACCTGAATTATTGTAATTTTCCCTGAATTTATATATATATATACACGGAACCCACCGCAGGAGGAAGGAGAAAAGGGACACACGCAAAAGACGAAAACGGCTGAGGATTTTGTGGGCTGAAATTATATATATGTGCAGACAACCCGCACTGACAGAGAAGCAAAAGGCTGGAACGGATATAGGCAGAAAAGAAATTGAGGATACAAGTGGACGCAGTGCTTATATTTTTGCCAAACTTAATCACGTTTGGTCAATATTTGGTGATGTTGTTCCACTTTTATTTATTTAATTTCAATATCGTGTTAAACTAGATTTATATGTGTTAGGATTTACAATGAACCTCGCATTGTGATCTTCTAATTATTTATTTTGCAATTTGATATTCAAACATGTTTAATGGATGTTGAATGATTTATATACACTTTCTTGCCTCCATAAATAAATACATGTGATTATGTAAATTTTGGGTGGTTTATTTTATGTATTCGAAAGAAGGGAAATAAACTCAACAATGTATAAATCATCATTTTGTTCATAGAGGATATAAATATACCGATATACATTACGTGAATCTTTAAGTGTTTACAAAACGTCAAACATTCTTGTATATTACATTTTTCATAAAAATATAGTCAAATGGTATGCTAAAATATGTTCAATTCTACTCGAAAGAGATTGTTGGATAAGTAAGAAATATTGATTCCTCACGGGTTGTTAAAGCTTGCTGTCTTGTTAAATCTGTAGTGGAGGATCGATGGTTGCCTTACATTGAGAAATTTGTATCGCAAAAATAATAAATTTTAATGAAATAATTGAATTTTAAAAAAAATGCGAATTNAATGTTTTAAATGATATAAGCAATTTGTAAATTCAATTATTGTATGTTCGTTTGATAACTTTTAAAATTAGCATGTTATCAAAATTCAAATTTATTGTGATTTTACCCCTGTTTGGTGGAGATTAAAATCAAATTTTTAGTAAATTTTGATAAAAGTTAAAAAATTATGAATTTTATGAAATATGTTATTAAAATTAATTGTTAATTTTGATTTAAATTTCAATAGGTACCAACATGATTTTATAATAAAAAAAAAATTCTCAAAAGTTGGTCGAGAGTATCGTATTTCAGAGAGCGGCTTCGAGTTCCAAGGGTCTCTTGTGAGAGCTCTGTATGGCTTGAACACGTGGGATCGTTTGAGGGCACTGGTAGATGGTCAGAGCAAAACACTTCTAAAGGCAACAAGAGAACTGACTGAAACCGCAAATCCAGCTCTAACACATTTGAAAGTTTCTCTTTCCCCATGATTTCTCGAATTCCGTGGAGTGTCTAATTTTTAAAACTTGTTTTCAAAATGAAAATACTACATTAGTTCGGGAAAACCTTTTATGATGGTTTTGGGATAATATTTGCTTATTCTAATGAATCTAATTTTAAGGATAATGGAAATTTTGGAATAGTGATTGATGTGAGAATGTGTGGTGGAAAAGTGATGAAAGGTTTTTGATTTATGCGTAATATTATTTTATTTGGAGAATGTGTGGTTGAAATGAAGAATAAGAATGAGAAATTAATGGGTATCAAACGGGGGCTAAATATTGGCTTAATTAATGAACAAACTCAAAAGCTTCGAGTGCAGACTCTTAGACCTAAGAATGAAACTTATTTCGTCTTTGAAATAAAGCATTAGCATCGTCTAAAAAATAATTTGTTTGTCCCAAACGAGTTTGTCAAAACAATCAAAAATCACAAAACATTTGTAGAAAATAAATCGTAGAATTAAAAGATTCTACACAAAAGAATTTTCACCCACTAAGGAATCCGAATGTTCACGTGCTCTAAACGCTACTTGTTCTTTGAACATCTACAAGTAGATATAACTCAGATCTACTAAAATCAGCCAAGAATGTTTCGATACAAATGTATGAAGAAATAAAAGATTCCTACAAAATTTTATTCTCGCCTCATATACAAAGTTCACCGTAGTAAACCATAATCAATCTCACAGAGTGTACACTAAGTACGTCAAAGAATTTACTCAAGATTTGCAGAGATTGAAGATCAGACGGAGATCACGAAGAGATGGATGAAAACCCTTACCAATACACCCACTCGTATGAAAATGGGGATAGAGAAGCCTTTTATATGGCACCCCGAAATTCAGATCCAACGCTCACAAATGCATCACGTGTAAGGCTAGATCTCATCACCATTATTATGTAAAAAACAAGTTTCCAAGAATGCGACTTTTGCACGTTACATGCCAAACTCGGATTGCACAAAATATGCCAAGTCCAAATGTCAAAGTGAAATAGTGAGACAACCCGATAACTAACATAATTAAAATTGTTGAACTGATTTTTTTGTTTTTTTTTTTTTGCTTTATTCTACCTTGAACCCGAAGAAAGAAAAGGATAACTTTCCTCAAAGTTAAGATTATATACGACTCTTATTTTCGAAGGAAAATGAAAGTAATACAAAAATAAATATAATTAATTCATATTTTATTTGAAGTGCTCGTAAAATGCAAAAGATATTCACAATTAACACAACAATATCAGCATGTTCGAGAACATTAATAACATGAAAAAAATGTAGCTTTTTTCTTCTTTATTTTGTCCAAAAATGTAGTCGAATCCCTACCAACGAATCCATTAATATTTTATATAAAAAGTCTGGTATTTATCCTAGTACCACCAAAGTCTCATTGCCTATACATGTGCAAGTATCAAATTAATTATGCCAATGTTAGTTTTGTTAAAAATCAGATTTTTAGTAAATTTTAATAAAAGCTGATGAAAATCACATGAGTTAAAAAAAAACACCAAAATAAAATAGATTAATTTGTCATCTATATATATCTGCCTATAGAATCACATGATATTTTCCAACGCACATATATATAAGAGAAGGAGGGTGAAGTTTTTGAGAGATGGAGAATAGCAGTATGGTCAAGATTGGTCCAGTGGGGAATGCAAACTACGGAAATATGTGGGATGAGAAGGGTCGAACTGAAATTGTTCAGATTTTTGTTTCACACGATACTAAAATTCATTCTCTTCAATTTCTGTATGCTAATGATGATGGAGAATTGGTGTTGTCAGATAAACATGGTCGCAGTACTGCAGGAGACAATTTTAATGTCGTGAGTATATTTTCTTTCTCTTGCCATTTTCATTAATTATGTTTCACCACCGAATATTGAACTTTTTAAATTTTTACTTTTTATATTATGTTATATATTAGCATAGACGAGGGTTGAAGACAAAATTTAAATAAATACGCATATTTTCTCTCTAACATTTTAAGCTTTTAGATCATTATTATTTGATTAACACGGTATATTTAAAGCCACACAAAAATACGAGTTCACGTCTCACAACCTTCATTTATTGAAAAAATGAATTGAAGACAAGATCTAAATTATTGCACATCGTCTCTCTATCATCCGAATCTCTCATAAATACCCTCTTAATTATAGTACAAACTCCATGAAGAAAAACTTGATGTAGCAAAACAATTTCCTTTTCGATAAATCAATATTTCTGATGGTGTTATGGGAATGCTATCAGGAGAGTCTCAATTATCCCTCGGAGTATATTACTTCTGTTAGCGGTAAGTATGACAATATATCTGGCATAAAATCAATCACATTTGGCACCAATTTGGGAACACATGGACCTTTTGGTGAAACTTCAGAAGATGATAAAGGGTTCATGCTTCATCTTGGTTCAAAACGTCAATTTGGAGGATTTCATGGCACTGCCGACAGTTGGCTAAGATCAATTGGAATTTATGTCAAGCTAATTTCAACTCTCGCGTCGCTGAAGGAAAAAGAAGTGCCTAAACTTCATTGTCTCAAGAAGGACGACATCAACATTATGTAACTTGGTTGTTCTCCAGCCAAATGCCAAATAAATGAACTTCCCTTCGATGTATTTATGTGTGTACTTTCGTTATGGAATTGTTTGTATTAATTTCTTTAATTGTTTAAGTGATTTGACATAGTTTAGATTATTTCATATCCTATGTTATTACTGAGATTCATTAATGTCCTTCTACAATGAGTAATTGACATTAAATTCTCAAACAGATGGAAGGCTCCACAGTTATTTTCCAATTTCTTATAATTATATGAGTAATTAAAAAGTTGTAGCATAGTATACATTACAAAGTAATTACTAATTAAAGTCAGAGACGCATTTGCCATTAGATCAAAGGAAACGTGATTCGCGGAAGGGTGTATGAAAATATTTAAAAGTAAAGCCACTTTACCCGAAAATTGTTGACACCTCGGGAGACCGACCCTCACATTGCTCGTGGGTCCCGCGGGAATAAAATAATGTCCTAGCCCCTGAGGTGTTCGTGTAGCACGGTTCGATATTTAATTTGTGTTGCTTTTCATTCGTGAATATAAAAAATGGGCAGCATAATTCTTTGATTCATACAAAAAATTTAAAATTTGGACTTGTTAAATCGAGAAGACTCAAAATTTTATTCAACATGGCCGATGCTAGCCGTCGATTTAAACAGTCTCAGTGTCACCCTAATAACTAAATTCTTGAAAGAAGGATCCTAGAATAAAATTAGATTTTCTTATTAGAGAAGTTTTGTAGACTCCTTGATACAAGAAAATAACTTATCTTCAACTTTGAAATAAAGCATCCATTAGTTAAGAATTTCTATAATTAAAATTAGTTTTTGCGTTTTTGTTGGTCATCCATGAACCTTTTGAACCCGTATAAAGAACAAGGATAACTTCACACAAAATTAAGTTTAAAGATTCTAATTTCCAAAGGAAAAAGGTAAGGAACGAAAGTTCTATAACAATTTACTTTCAGTTTTATGAACGGTTATCATTCATTTATATTTTATTTGAAATACTCATTTTAGACGGTAGATTTTATAATTGCGAAAATCGGATCGATCAGGCCACGAGCAATCATGCAGAACTCTAGAAAAGTAAAACGAGAAAGAAGAATCGAAAAAGATCATAAGAGGACACCAGAGTGGTGCTGGCCGAAGACCCTCATACAGTCAAGTCAAGTATAGCTTGTCAAGGGTATTAATTCTAGCCAAGATCCTTATTTTGGTGCATTCAGTCGTGATTCTGTTGTAAGGCTTGTTTCAGCCTTGTTTGGTGGTCATTAAATTACTTTTGCCCCTAGTTGGGGGTAATAGAGGTAGAGAATATTTTCAGATGGAAAAATTCATTTGTGTTTTTGTTAAAGAGTTCAAGTTTATTCCATGGAGTAGAATTTGTTCTTGTGATCAATTACTTCATATTGTGGTTTAATCTCTTATTTTCTCTGCTTTTCACAACAAATTGGTATCAGAGCATTCCAATTTCTAACATATTGGAATGTGTATCAACTCAATCACAACTATCGATGGGCCTATACTTAAATATTTAGATGAGGACGACCTTGCTGCAAAAAATTCAGAAATGTTTTAATTCAAGGATGAAATGTAGAGGAAGAATTAATGGGCAAGGAGTATCAATATTGATACTAACTTAAATTTATTGTTTTCCCTTCTTGAGTAAGAACTCGAAGAATGCATTTAAAATCCAATGTCTACACTTTTAACTCTTTTCTTCTTGATTTGCATATAAGAAGATGAACTTATATAAATTAAAATGACAGAAGTTCTACCAAAATTTAGGCATTGGGATCACAACCTCCCCGTTAGATTTCATTTGTACGTAATTAATTACGGGCCCATTTAGCATGGTTTTGAGAGGTGAAAGGATTAAAAGCTGCTTTTAACCCGTTTAACTAATTTTACGAAAGTGGTTCTTCTAATTAGAAGAGTTTTTAAAGGAATCTGGTCTAATGTGATTTTTATAAAAGCACTTCTGAGATAGAAAGTTTTTCAGAAATTAGTTTTCCAATAAAAATTACAGTAGTTTAATCAACAAACTCTCCTACAGAAAGCAAAAATAAATGTCACGCCAAATGAATCCTACGTTTCCTCACTGGAATGCATTTCACAAATCCAGAGCAGTGCAATGATGTTGAAATATGTCAAATATTGGATCAGTTGTTGCATCTTATCAAATACTTGAGTATGCTGCATTTGCAAACATCATTTCACGTTTTAGCCTTCTGTACCTACAGAAATTTTATCATAGGCTAGTCATAAATAAATGTGAGTCATACATTCCGCTTAATTTCCAAATATTGCGGCACATAACGCTTACAATTTGGCCTCTATTTGGTGTGGCTTAAAATTTTAACAAAAATTTAAGTCAAATTCAATAATTGATTTTAATAATACATTTAATGTGATTCACAACTTTTATTAACATTTCAATCAAATATTTATTAACTTTACCAAAATCTATTAAAAATCTTTTTTTTTTGATATCCAGGTATCATAACTTACATTAGACTATGTCCTGGACCACCCATCCCCGGCCCCTCAGTGATGGGTGGAGGTTAATCGTGGGATATGTCCAAATTGACCAGGGTATGTGCACCCTTTATACTCCTGGCCCCAAGGGAGCCTTCCTCCATGGATATTACATCACCAAGCTGCTCCACCCAAATTGAGTATTACAACACTCAGCTGCTCCATCCAGGAATCGAACTCCCCACCCTGAGGTTGCAAGCCCAGCAGTGCCCATCCTTTGCCAACTTGGATGTGCCCCGAGGGGCAAAAAAAAAAAAAAAAAAAAATCTATTTTTTAGTTGCACCAAACAGGGGCTTAAGCTTGATTGGCAAAGTTTAATTTCTTTTGCCAAGCATGTTTTGGGCCTACATGACTCTTAAGAAGTCAAAAGAATCTTTTGAAACCTGAAAGTTGATTTTGGATCCGTTTGACTAATTTTGGAAGAATGATTTTCTAGTTAGTAGAGTTTTTAGAGTAAGTTGATGAAATGTGGTATCTTTTAAAAGCACCTTCGGAATATAAAACTCTTTTAGAAAGAGTTTCCAAACAGGAATTAAGGTGACTTTCTCAGAAAGTTGTTCTACAGAATGTGAAAGCAAAAGTCACGCCAAGAACGGAATAAGTAAAACTGAAGACGTACTATCTCGAATCAAGAAAGGAACTTATCCTCAACTTTGATAGAAAGCATCCTCAACTAAAAAACTCCTACAAATTCTTCTTTAATTTTTTATGATCATTGGCCTTTAGAATATTCTGAATTTTATATATCATTTATCCTCACTTAAACACGAAGAAAGAATAAGAGGATAATTTCCCACATACAGCTTTACATTTTAAGCAGGGATGCAAGTACCATGCTCTCTTATAATCTAGAATAGAATAAGGGTCCGTTTGACATGATTTTTACTCTTCTTTTGCTTTTACTTTTGTTTTTTGAAGAAGAGCTTTTTAAAGAAACTATTTTAATTTTTGTTTGAAAACTAATCTTCAAAAGAGCTTGTAATTTCAGAAGTGCTTTTAGAGGAAGTCATATTGGCCGAACTTTCTCTAAAAACTCTTCTACATACAAGAAGCACTTTCATGAATTTAGTCAAACGAATTCAAAAGTAGTTTTTGAATTTCAAAAGCCATGCCAAACAGGCCTAAGCCTCTTAATGAAATAAATAGGTATTGGTGCCATGTAATGCCTCTTATATAATCAGTTTTATACAGAACTATAGAAGCACATACTTTGAAAAAGAGGTTGTTTGGACATAATCTAAGGAGGCTAATATGATGAAAATTTGTCCACCAGTGAAAAAAGTAGGAAAAGATTGGGATTACAAGGGTCGCAACGAGATTGTTCAAATTTTCTTGGATCACGATAATATCATCAATTATATTCAATTTCAATATGTTGATGAGAATGGAGCCCTGGTATTATCTGATGGACATGGACGGGTTAATGGAATCAAATTTACTGCTGTGAGTATATATATTCTCCAAATTTTATTTTATTTTTGTCATTTTTCAAAGAAATCATGTGTATATATGCATTTATATTTATTAATATTATCGACTGTGGATACGTTGGGTATGCAATATTATAGATAGGTATGAGTAATACAGCTTACAAAATTTTTATTTACTAATTTTTTTTTTTATGCAATTCTCATGGTTTATATTTTTGTCATCTCTTGTAAAATAATGGGCATGAAGGTGAAGTTCAAATATCCATCAGAGTATCTTATTTGTGTTAGTGGTACCAACTGCATCATCTATGGAACTCTAACTTCAATAACATTTGTCACCAATTTGGAAACGCATGGGGCTTTCGGTAATCCTTCGGAGAATGACACAAAGTTCTATTATCATTTGGGACAAGAAGGACAATTTGGAGGATTCCACGGCACTGCTGATGATCTTTGCGTTAGATCCTTCGGTATATACTTCAAGCCAATCACTTCTCTCGACTCACCGAAGAAGGTTAAAGATGATCCTGAAGTTCGTTCCGAATACTTTATTGTCTAAAATGCCACAGATCTTATTGATTTCAGAAGAAATATAGAATGTTTATGTCAAAATCATTTATTATGGATTTAATGGAATTGTGCAATTTATGCTTTGGTTTACTTTTAACTATTTTGTAAGACTTGATTTAGAACTCTGATGACTTTAACTATTTTGTAAGATTACTCCCATTTCTATATCCATACATATTCATGGTGTTTGAACACTTTGATGACCTTAAAGTACGTCCCAAGTCCATTATACTTTTTTTCGTCGACTAACTTGACTGTTGGAGTGTTCGTGACCGCCTCTCCCACCTCCGAAGAAGGCCACGGGTGACTAACTGTTTGTTCAAGTGTGTAGGAAATGAGCTTACGTGGACACAAGTGAGCTCTGGATCTGTTGGCCACCTTACATGTACAAAATTGAGGTCAACACGTGTAATATTGTTTTATTGAAGAATATATACTTGAAAATAAGAAAGTAAATATGCATTTTTTCATAAATGGAACCCAAACAGGGCTTAGTATTAATTTACATATTTATAATTTTGACAGTAAAAAACTTACTAATTTCTGAACTTATTTATAAGTAATATTTTAATCTTAGCCAAACGTGCAATAAATGTCATCCACTGTTCACATTATCCGGCACAATTTCCTTATTTCAGATAAGCAAACTAGTGCAAGTTATATCTTCATCTACATGGTTTTTTACTTTCTAAATATATGTTTATGCAAATTCGCTTCAATGAACTTTCAATTAGGTGCCTATTTGATATTGATTTTGTGAAAATTAATTTTTTTTAGAATATGGTTAAAAGCTAAGAAAAAGTTATAGGTACACGTGTGAAATTATTCTATTGGAAAAGCGTGTGATTGAAAATTAATATTAAAAGAATAAATTTTAAAGAATCTATATCAAATATAGGCTTAGACAATTAATTTCGATGGATTTTTCCAGGATTGGATAAAACTCTCAAACTGAACCAGACGGAATTGGACCTGAATCAAACAGAACGATTCGATTTGAAAATTAATATTAAAAAAAATAAATTTTAAAGAATCCATATCAAATATAGGCTTAGACAATTAATTTCGATGGATTTTTCTAGGATTTGACAAAACTCTTAAACTGAACCAGACAGAATTGGACCCGAATCAAACAGAATGATTCAATTCTTCCTAAGTTAAATACGAATATTAGAATCGAGACGCGACGGGCTTGGTTCGGTTCTTGATTCAAGACCAAGAACCGAATAAGAATCAAACCTCCTTAATTTTTTTTATATTAAATAAGTCAATTTTTTTTTAAAATAAGTTTGCTAACTAATTAATTGAGCCCAAAAATATTATTTTCCTATTTCATTTGCCAACTAATTAATTGAGCCCAAATTATCATTTTCTTGTATTCAGCCTAAGCCTAATTTTGTGATTCAAATTTCAAAAAATAAAAATTGAGTGATCTAAGTCTTGCTCTATCATTCTGATGTTTCTCAAATAATCGAAGCTGAGAGCAGCTGTGCCTTTTTTCATCTTACCATCTTTTTTTTCCTATTTATTAAATTTCCTCCATTTTAATCAAGGTAAACTTCATCTCATTCGTTTCTCATGATTTCTTCATCTCATTCATTTCTAATATTTTTTCACGCTTAATGTATAAACATTATAATTTATAACTAGTGTTCAACCAACATAAACCACAAACTTGCACCACCGCGGTCGCCATACACCGCGCCCTCGACGCACCACCACCACCAGCAAACACCACTAACCTCAAAACACCACGGCACAGAAAAACCAACGAGCCTAATAGACTCGTGTTGCCATCACAAACAAACACCACCAACGATTCTGGCTGCAACAACGATGGCTTGAGTTGTTACAAACAAACACCAACAATGCTCCGACTGCAACTGTGCGCAGACAACGCCATCATCGCCAGAGGCAATACATCATGCTGACGATGCCAACTCTAAGGTACCGCTTTGAGTGGCAGCTCGCAAAAATCTGAGAAAAAAGGGAAGATCGTGACATTGACCTAAGTAGCGGCTCGCTAAAATCTGATACAGCGTCATGAGCGCTGTGCAGTAGAGTTGCACAAATGCATGCACAACATATATACTTATATGTTGTGGATTATCTATTTCTAGATATTCAGCAATTTGAAAAATGTCATTCATATCAAAATAATCAAAATTGTCTAGAAAGTTGGGAGGGTTAGGGTGCTGAAACAACTACAAAATCGACGACGGAGTGGGTGTTGTAAAAGATTGTAGAATGGATTAGATATTAGTAAATACAAGTTGTTAAATACCAATGCCCAGTTAGGATTGTTGCCCATTCTTTGTTGAAAGAGTTTGGATTTTTTGTGGTAGGAAGACTTTGGAGTTTTTTTAGGGATGAGTGCGCCATTTGAGAAACTTGAAGGTGAATAAGGATTTTTAACAACTGGATAAAGGGTTTGGTCTACGAGGGTGGAAAAAATGGTGGTGCAAATGGGACATTTAGCTAGGATCTATGTTAGAAGGGTGGCTAAGGTTGCTACATGTGCAGTAGAGTTGTACAAATACATGCCAAACATATATACTTATATGTTGTGGATCATCTATTTCTAGGTATTCAGTAATTTGAAAAATTTTATTCATATCAAAATGATCAAAATAGTCGGGAAAGTTGGGAGGGTTATTAGGGTGTTGAAACAATGGAGGAACCGACGACGGAGGTGGCGGCTGTAAAGGATTGTAGAACGGATTAGATATTAGTAAATATGGGCTATTAGATACCAATGCCCAGTTAGGATCGTTGTCCATTTTTTGTTGGAGGAGTTTGGTATTTTTGTGGGAGAAGAAGTTCCGTCGAAAATGTTAGAAGGGTTAGCGTGCTGAAACAACGGTGGAATCGACGGTAGAGCTGACGGCTGTAAATGATTGTAGAATTGATTATGTATTAGTAAATATAGACTATTAGATACCAATGCCTAGTTAAGATCGTTGTCCATTTTTGGTTGGAGGAGTTTGGAGTTTTTGTGGGATGAGGAGTTTCGTTGACAAATGTTGGAAGGGTTAGGAGGCTGAAACAACGGCGAAATCGACGACGGAGCTGGCGACTGTAAAAGATTATAAAAGGGATTGGATATTAGTAAATACGGGTTGTTAGATACCATTGCCCAGTTAAAATTGTTGTCCATTTTTCGTTGGAGGAGTTTGAAGTTTTTGTAGGAGGAAGGGTTTGGAGTTTTTTAGGGTGGAGTGTGCCGTCTGAGAAACTTGAAAGTGAACTTGGATTTTTAACAACTGGATAAATGGTTTAATCTAGGAGGGTAGAAAAAGTGGTGGTGCAAATGGGACATTTAACTGGGATATATATCGGAAGGGTGACTAAGGTTGTTGCGTGTGCAGTAGAGTTGTACAAATGCATGCGCAACATATATACATACTTATACATTGTGGATCATCTATTTATAGGTATCCAACAATTTGAAAAATGTCATTCATATCAAAATGATCCAAACCGTCGAGAAAGTTGGGAGGGTTAGGGTGTTGAAAAAACAACGAAATCGACGACGGTACTAACGGCTGTAATGGATTGTAGAATGGATTAGATTTTAGTAAATACAGGCTATTAGATACCAATACCCAGCTAGGATTGTTGTCCCTTTTTACGTATACACTGTAGAAACATATACGGTATGTTGTATGCATATACAGTAAGCGTATATACGGTAGGCACGTATACGGTAGGTTGTATGCATATACGGTAAGTGCATATACGATAGACGCATATACGGTAAACGCATATACTATAGAAGCATATACGGTAAGTTATATGCATATACGATAAGGTGTATGCATACACGGTATGTCGTATTCATATACGGTAAGTGCANAATAAAAAAGCCAACCCCTACAATCACTTCGAACCGCGATATCCAAGCTATTGCGTCATGTGTAGCTTCACTACGGCGAAATTGTTCATCTTCACGAACCAAAAATTAATAGACACCAAAAAAATCTTACCTATAAAAACTATATACTCCAAATTTGCGCGGAGAACCTCGTGCGTTGGGTAGATGGTATATTCTTTCATAAGCCATCTATTGACATTGGCAACGGCAGTGGGAAGTTTATAGTGGTATGATCTCCTACTTCCTATTCGTACTGCACCATCCATGATTTGTTTCACCCTTCCACCGGAGTGAGATCAAGTACCACCCTCTTCCACCTTTTATATTAGCCATATTTAGGTTATACCCCACTACTGGAGTGACGAAATAGTAAGTATTAGGCTCTCTTTCAACGCTAATACCTGCCAAAAGTCATGGGAGAATGTCTAAGGTTGATCCAGTCAATATTTATTAACTCATTTAAGATCCTCCTCCCAATCAAATTTATCAAAAGGGTTTCAACATGAGCAAATTCCAAAACCCCATATTCGATAATGCCGGGATTCGAAGGGTTTGCTGGGTTTTCATGGGGAGGGTTAGGATCATCTATTTCTAGAGGGTTAGGGTCTTCAGCATTTTGAAATATGTCATTCATGTCAAAATGATCAAAATCGTCGGCAAGTTGGGAGGTTTACGGTGAACAGGTTCCACAGGGTTAGGATAATCTATTTCTAGTATTGACTAGGACATTCACGTGACCACCTTTAAAGTTGATCCTTTTAGTAATTTCAAAAGTAAAAGTATTATTTTGTAGGATTTTTCTGCAGCACAAAAAAAGGAAAATCAGTACTTTGGAAACTACAAAGATTCATCTATTGGATCCGTACACTTAAATTTGCTCTATTTTACTTTTATTTTCTCAAAGCTTTGAAAAAAAAAATTGTAAGATCATATTTGAGCACATTTTGATGTACACCATTACGCAATACCATATGACATTATCTCATTTGTAGCATTCCATATATTTGTTATATCCTTACTCAATTCTTAGATCGCTGTCCATCTTTCGGGATTGGAGTTTTTTGTAGGAGGAAGATGAGGATGAGGAGTTTTGAGGGAGGAGCGCTCGTCTGGAA